TGCAGCAATTCTGAATGGGAGTATTCATTCTCCAATTGCTTGTTATTGGTATATAGAAAGGCTATTGATTTATGTAGATTGATTTTATAACCTGCCACTATACTGAAAGTATTGATCAGTTCTAGGAATTTCCTGGTGGAACTTTTGGGATCTTTTAGGTATATTATCATATCATCTGCAAAAAGTGATAGTTTGACCTCTTCTTTTCCAATTAGTACTCCTTTCATTTCCTTCTCCTGTCTTATTGCTCTAGCAAAAGTTTCAAGCACTGTGTTAGAAAGAAGCGGAGATAGTGGACATCCTTGTCTGGTTCCTGATTTCAATGGGAATGCTTCCAGTTTTTCTCCATTTAGAATGATGTTGGCTGTGGGTTTGTTATATATGGCTTTAATTATGTTGAGGTATGTATGTTCCCTCCAGTCCAATTCTCTCTAGGACTTTGAACATAAATGCACGCTGAATTTTGCCAAAAGCCTTTTCTGCATCTACTGAGATGACAATGTGGTTTTTGTCTTTGAGTCCATTTATATGATTAATGACATTTATTGACTTGCATATATTGAACCATGCCTGCATCTCTGTGATAAAGCCTATTTGATCACGGTAAATGATCTTGTTGATGTGTGTCTGTATGTGGTTTGCAATTATTTTGTTGCGAATTTCTACATCTATGTTCATTAAGGATATGGGTCTATAGTTTTCTTTTTAGGTTGTGTCTTTCCCCAGTTTGGGTATTAGAGTACTGCTGGCTTCAGAAGGAATTTGGGAGTTCTCCCTCTGTTTCTATCATTTTGAATAATTTAAGTAGTATTGGTTGGAGGTCTTCTTTAAATGTCTGGTAGAATTCTGCTGTAAATCCATCTGGGCCTGGGCTTTTTTTAGTTGGGAGGCTTTGTAGTACTGTTTCAATTTCCTTATATGTTGTGGGTCTGTTAAAATTGTTGATCTCGGGGCTAGAGAGAGGGCTCAGAGGTTAAGAACACTGGTTGTTCTTGTAGAAGACCCGGGTTCAAATCCCAGCACCCACATGGCAAACAGCTGTCTGTACCTCCAGTCCCAGGGTATCTGACAGCATCTTCTGACCTCCGAGGGCATTGCACAACATGGGTGCACTTACCTACTTGCAGGCAATACACACATACACATAAAAATAATAAAAAATTTTCTTTAAAAAGTTTTAAACTGTTGATCTCGGTTTAACTTTGGTCGTTCCCATGATTTCAGATATCCATCCATTTCTTTTAGATTTTCAGATTTAGTAGCTTATAGGTTTTTAAAATATTCCTTACAATGGTCTGGATCTTTTGGGTGTTTGTTGTGATGTTTCCCATTTCATCTCTGATTTTGTTGATTTGGATTTATTTGCTCTTTCTTTCTTTTGGTTAACTGAGCTAAGGGTCTATCTATCTTGTTTAGCTTTTCAAAGAACCAGATCTTAGAGTCACTGATTCTTTGTATTGTTTTCTTTGTTTCTATTTCATTAATTTCTGCTCTGATTTTTGTTATTTCTTCTCTTCTCCTGGGTTTCCTATTCTTGTTTTGAGATTACAAATGTGATAAGCCTCATTAAAATTATTTGTTGGGTAAGTCTATAAATTGTAACGAAACCTGGGGGAAAGATGACCAAGAGGGAACCTGAAAAGTTAATGTAGACTGAAATAACTACACATTAAAAAAAGAATTCTGTGTGTATAAGTTTTGCCTACTTGTTCGTAAGTGCATGGTATGCATGCAGTGCCCCCAGAGGCAAGAAGAGGGCATCAGATACCGTGTCCCAGAGGTGTTGTGTTGTATTGTCCTTTTCATTGAATTCCAGGAATTATTTTATTTCTTTCTTAATTTCTCCTTTAACCCACTCATTTTTTAAGAGTGTGCTGCTCAATTGCCACAAGTTTGTGTAGTGACTAGGGCTTTGTCCAGTGTTGATTTTGTGCTTTATTGCTTTGTGGTCCGATAGAATGCATGGAATTATTTCAAGTTTTTTGTATTATTGAGGTGTCTTTTGTGGCCCAGTATGTGGTCAATTTTTGAAATAGTTCCATAGGGTGCTGAGTAGAAAGTATATTCTTTGGTGCTTAAGTGGAATAATCGAAAGATTTCTGTTAGGTCCATTTGATGTATAGTATCATTTAATTCAGACGTCTCTCTGTTTATTCTTTGTCAGGTTGACCTGTCTAATGGAGACAGTGGGGTACTGAAGTCCTCTACTATTACTGAGTTGGGTTAATCTGTGTCTTAAAGTCCTGTAGTGTTGTTTTTATAAATTTGGGTGCCCCAGAGTTTGGTGCATATATGGTAAGGATTTTAATATCTTCTTGGTTGACTGTTCCTTTGATCAGAATGAAGTGACTCTCCTTACCTCTTCTGATTAGTTTTACTTTGAAGTCTAAAGTCTATTTTGTCAAATATTAGAATTGCAACCCCTGTTTGTTTCTTACTGCCATTTGCTTGGAATATTCTTTTCCATCCTTTCACTTTAAGGTAGTGCCTGTCCTTGAAGGTGAGATGGGTTTGGGTTTCTTGCAGACAGCAAAGAGATGGATTTTGTTTCTTTCTTTTTTTTTAAAAAAATTTTCATTTTATGTGATGAGTGTATTGCCTACATGTATGTGAGTGCACCCATGTCATGCAGTGCCACAAAAGTCAGAAGAGGGCTTTGGATTCCCCTGGAACTGGAGTTAAGGACAGTTTGTAGCTGCCATGTGAGTTCTGAGAATCGAACCCAGGTCCTCCACAAGAGCAGTCACTGCTCTTAACCGCTGAGCCATGTCTCCAGCCCCAGATTTTGTTTCTTAATCCATTCACTTAGCCTGTGTCTTCTGACTGGGGAGTTCAGTCTGTTGATACTTAAGGTTATTATTGAAAGATGTGTATTGGTTGCCATCATTTTGATTGCTGTTTGTGTTTTCTAATTTGTGTTTCCTCGATTCCACCTTCATTTATTTACTCTTGTTTCTCTCTCCACTTTCTGTGTTGCTTCAAGTATTCTTTGAAGGGCTGTTTTGTGGACATGTATACTTTCAGGCTATTCGTGTCATGGAAGATTTTTCTTCCCCCTCAACTATAATAGACATTTTTGCTAAGTAAAGTATTCTGGGCTGACAGCTATTGTCATGTAGAACTGGAAATACCTTGGTCCAGGCTCTTCCGGCTTTCATAGTTTGCATTGATAAGTCAGCTGTAATCCGGATGG